TCACAACCACCTATATGGAGAGTAGAATGATCTTGTCGTGGACTCTTTCTTAAGAACTTAGAAAGATCAATGTTCATTTACTACTAAAATAATTCTCAAGGAAATAATTGCGAAAAAAAATTCTGAGGATGAATCACTTCACACCTTTATATTTCTATTGATACAATAAACATTAATTTGAATTATCACTTGCAACAAAATTGTTTATAACGTATAAATTTCCAGTTACTCATGCCTATCTTAAAATCTGTGTTTTCAAAAATCGAAAAAAAGTTGTTTATGACAATACTACAGTAATGTTGATTCATACAATGAAGAAAACTATATTGTGCACAATATTTGAGGCGGTTGATAAGTTTGGCAGACCAATGTGTGATTGCAGATGAATATAATGAATGTATAAGAAAATTATCCTAACACATTTAACACCATTCTCAAAGTAATGCAATTTAATTATAAATATCAATTTATAAACTGAAAAATTCTTACATTGATCATATTTTGAATAAGATGATGAGTTTGAAGTTTAAATAAATAATAGGCATCTATGAGAATCAGAGAAAAATAAAGTAACTGTCAATAAGAAAAATCTTATAAATGAATAAAACTAAATAAAGAAATGATTTTTAGAAATTATGCCATTTGTAGAACAAATTCAATAGTGTAATAGATTGTCGTCGAATTTCTTAGGTCAACTTATGTTTATTAGATGAAAACATAAATACTATAAAATAGTAGTGAATACTGTAGATTTTTTTAATATATGAGATAATCTTTTAAGTATCATAACTCCATTAGTAAAAAGAATTTCGTTATAAATTCATATTTAAGACAATTATTATGCACCATCGATATTTTGATCGAAATCATTGATCTATAACTATGTTTTGAATTTAATATTATAAAAGTCATTCTCCCAACATAACTTCAAGTCAATTATTTGTTGATGAAATCATATAAATGATTATAGCTTGAATAAATTATTAAACAAAATTTTTCAGGTGAAAAAATCCAACAAAGATCGTTTAAGATCTATCTTAGCGTAAGATTTAATATATTTCTTATTATAAGATGCTAACGTATATCTTGTATTATTCTATTCCTACTACACACTAACATTAAAATGTATTGCATCCGTTGTATGTTGCGCCACAATGTAGATAGGATACATTAAAGTGCATCACGAGCTGTTTATAATGACACATTTATGTCCAGCAATGGTGCAACATTTTTTGAAAATGTGGTTTGAATTCACTCTTCAGAGCATTTATCATTTTTTCTGCAGAAACGAATAATTATTGTTTTTTCAGTTTAGTTCAAATTAGCGATGTCTATTCTTGCAACTTAATGCAGTCAGATCTTGAGATCTAACCATCTTGAGTTCATTGGACTATCGATCAGATTGGTTCAGATAAGTTCTTTCTTGATTATTGATCAATATCTCAGCATGTTCTCTACCAATAACTAATGGAAAAATAATCTAGACAAACAGACATGCCAAAACCTAGAAATTCAATATGTTCAATTAAGTTGGTTATATGTAGCTGTATGGGCAGAACAAAACGGCGAATAAGAAGTTAGCAGACAGATCAAGATACATTCTAATTGCGATATATTTTCGTGCTAGAGTCTGAGAAACTATAACTGTCGACACATTTTAGATCATTTTATTATCATTGGATCCATTCGATAAAGTAGAAATAAACTACTTCTAATTTAAATTACTCAAGTGGATGAATACAGTTATCCATATTTTCACCGTAACTTTAGTTCATACGGCACATAAACGGATCATATTTTCTTATAATCTTGAGTACAATAATACGGCACCCTATAGAATGCCGTATTTGTGCGCCAGATATTACAGCAGAATTTACTGTCATAAATTAACCATAAACGGCTGTATCGTTCAACCTCCTATGTACTTATTTCTTTATTGTAAATCATCTTCATAGTCATATTCAATAGATGTCAACTTTATTTTAATGTACTGATCTAAGTAGTTAAAGCATGTAAGTATTGATGTGAATGTCAGCGTTTAGATAAAGAAAAAACACTTACAGACTACCACACCTACAGTCGCAATTTCCATGCTCACTCACACACCAAACTTAACATAATCAGAGTAGGAAAAAAATCATTTTACGTGTATCTGTGCGGAAATGACAGTTTACACTCTATTGAACGATTAAGCCGTGACGACCACGTCGATCAATCTTTGTACATGTCAAATTATATAATTACCGAACATGTCCTTGAAAAAGCTGATCTTATGACAATAGATTAATAATTATTTCTCTTTTTCGTCTATTACAATAATGAAATAGACTTTTATTTATTTTATTAGATGTTCGAAAGAAAAGAGAAATCAAGGACTATACTGGAAGAAAAAAAAACAAACAAACAACAATAACAAGAAAACAAAACAAATCCACCGTCGAGTAATCAATCATTCTACATCGGCAAAAGACAAAACAAGATATGATAATGACAAAATCTTCTTCTCAACGTTTTTCTCGCTGATTTATTTAAATAAAAACGAACAGCAATAAAAAAAAAACTATTGTCCCTTTTTATTCGCATATATTTATTCTTCATTTTCACTTGATGCTGCACCTGTACCATTGGTTTGATTTGTTTGTCGAGATTTTCGTTCACGTACATTTTTTTTTGGTGAACGATCTAAAAATTAAATTTATAGAAAAAGTTTTTTTTTCTTATATCAGAAATAAATTTACTTTGAACGAGATGATGTTTTGGAATCCAATCAACATCATAATTGCCTTTTGTTTGTTGACTACCAAAATTTTGGGAACTTAATTTACTAGTAGCTCTTTTAACACGATTTGAAAGTAAATATTGATAAGCCACAAATCCTAAAAGTACTAATATTGCACCAAGAAAAATATAGAGAAAAAATCTAGAAAATACAAAAGAAAAAAAAACATTTTATTGAATGAAAATACAAATAATTATCTTACGTTTCTCCATCAAATCCTTCATCAGCATCAATAAAATTGATTGTTTGATTAAAAACAACATTTTGAAATCGTTTTCCTTCCTAAACAATCAGATAAATCATCAAAGAAAAAAAAAACAGATTAGTTCTCATACATTATTTCGATAATTAATTAAAACAACTAAACCCATTGGTCGTCCATTAAAAGTTTCACTTGGCATAAATAAATATTCAAATGTTGATTCTAAACCAGATTCAAGAGCTTTTTCTGATCGTAATGCTGTAAAATTTTGTATATAATAACTATAATCTTGTGGATAACGTAATGAACCATCAATTGATTCGACAACAAAATTTTGTGTACCATTATTACTTGCACCAACAAGTAAACGAGTTAATTTACCAGCAATTAATTCTGTAAAATAAAAAAACAGATTTTCATTAACATAGTTCATTTCAAATAATTTCGTTTAGTTTTATACTTCTGCAATTGTATTATCGACATTAGGCTATGACTGGGATCAATAAAACTTAGCTCTGCACATCTCCAATCTCTACGAATATTCATTTAAGCATCAACCGAAGTAGTCATTTCTTATTTTCTTTTAGCTTTTAATCATGACTCTAGTATTTGATTAATGTTTTTGCATTAATAACATCCTTTTTTTGCTAAGAAAAACTGGTAGTATATAAAGACGTAGAGGTAACACGAAAAGCTTATCCTACACATCTCCAAGTCGGTTATTACTACAAGTTTTTCCTGCTAATCAGACGAGGGAATCTCTTCCGGTGTCGAATTGCTTTTCAATCTGCTGAATAATAAAATTTTAGTATGGTTTTCTTTTCCAGACGTTTGTTTTTGAGATATCGAAATTTTCAACACAAAGCTATGGCCCCGAGAAAAATTGACTTTCGACTTCAAACTTTGCACGAACAAAGTTCTCAATAAGATTAATTTATTGTGAAACTAGTATTTCCTTTCTGAAGATATAAATATATGAAAAAAAATTGCTTTTATACGTCCGAGAATTTCGAATATCTTAGGATAGAAGAAACAAAAAAACAGTTATAACTTGCTCAATGAACAAATCTTATTGAGACGTTTGTTGAAAAACTTAGTAAAATTCGATATTTGAAGAACGAAGATCCGAGAAATAAAACTATTCTATTATTCATCGAATAAACATTGTCTTGATTAAAAAGTTATTTTATAGCAAAATAGGTTTCCGTATCGGTGAAAAGATAATTATTTAGGTTAAATTATTTTCATTTCTTCTGAGAAAGTTAAAGCCATCTGTTGAACTCAATCGGATAGAAAAAATTTTATTAATACAACTTATAACTCTACTATAATAGAAACGTCATTTATTTATAAAACATACCATTGGCTTTAGCTGGTTGAATAAAAACATAAATTGTACGAAAATCAGGTGAAGATGGAATACGATTTGGATCTTCTTCTTCTTTTTCTTCCTAAAATAATTTTAAAAATGTTTATTTCAAAATTTCCTTTTCTTTTCTTACAAGACTATCAGTTGCTGCTGTTACAGGTTCATCTGGATGCACAATAGGTTCGTCTTCTTCAACTTCAGCATCACTATCAATTTTATCTTCATCACCATAAACAACTATAAAGAAAATTCTTTAGATTTATATAAAATTTCATCTTTATTTAACCTGTCGTGGAAAAATATAGTAAACCAAAAATTGTTATAAGCGAAAATAATCGAATTATGTTCATGTTTCAAATGGAAAAAACGATGTATAATGTATGTGACAGACAACAGATGCGATCGAACGCAGCACTATATCCCACAACACGCATACCGATTTTTATTCACCAATAAAAAATTAGCCGATGCGTGGCTAACTTTTATCATATTAAAAATACAGTAAAATACTAATTAATCATCATTTTAAAACAAATTTTTATTCTAAAGAGACTTGTTTTCAATTTTTTTAACTGACATCTTTTTTTCGAAAAGAAAATAGCGACAATTTTTTAATTGGTTATTCAATGTTTTAAACTAGAAATTATTAAATGGAATGCCGTTCAATAAATGAATAGTTGAACCGATTAATTTAAGTCAAGTACAAGTACCAAATGACATTCGAAATGAACTTAAATGTAAAAGCTAATCATACATTATAAATGTAATTCGACAATTAAGTTTATTAAGTGCTCATACACAAGATTTATTTGATGAATTAATTAAAGATGCTGGATACATCTTTCAACATACAGAAGCATTACATGGTCGAATTGAAAGATTCAAACTTAAAGTAACAAAATTAGATTCAAATATTGAAGAAGGTTTATTTAAATTTTCTTATAAAAAAGAAATTTAATACGAAATAATTTTTTTTTCTAGTAACTATCCAAGATGTAAATGATCGAAAACCATTTTTAAGTCTAACACGTATTGATCCACAAGTGGTAAATCGTGCAACAATGCTACAATCACTTTGTTTACTTTATGAACAAGTTGAAGCTGCACCTACTCTTCATTTACTTAATCCTTATCGGTTTGTAGTTTTTTTAAATAAAATATCAAATTAACCCTTTTCTGTTTTCGTAGATATAATGATCGTGACTCAATGAAATTTTATACTGATCCCTCATTATTTTTCAATTTATGGATTCAATCAATGGTACAATTTTCACCAAATCATCATCTCAATATCGTAGTCCTCAAGATTTGCTATGTCATCAAGGAGAATATAAATCAGTATCGTGCTTATATTCAATCACAACAACAGCAACAAGTTATTCATCAACAAATTATCGTCTTCGTTTATAATATTCAAATAATAATCATTATCAACAATTAAATTTAGTACAGTGCAGTAGTTTGACATTATCATCACATCGGAAACAACAACCAATGACAGTAAATTATAGTAGTACAGGTACACCGAAATCACCATTAAATGAGTACAATATAGAACTATGACCAAGACTTAATATTCATTCAGCAATGATTACTCGACAAATTCCACTTCCACCATTATTATCACAATTTGAATCAAATCATCATATGACACAATATCCTCCAATGAAACAAACAATTGCTAGACTATCAGCTAGTTATCCACTTCCACTGATAGCACCGCCTTTGCCGTTGAATATGGGTGTACCAACATTTGCAACTATTTCAGAGATTGATAATTTACTTCCGCCACTGACTGATTTTATTGAACAATCACCACCACCACCGACTCCTCCCCCTTCATCTTCAATGCCATAAAATATTCTACCAGCATTACCTTTACCAAATTCTTCTATTCAATTGCTTGTCATGCGATCTTCAACGGCAAGTACACCGCCAACAACAAAAACTAATTCAGATAGTAATACTTTATCATCATCTCAACGTGATGATGTTTCTGTTACAACAGAAACTTCAATTCAAGATCAACGATCATATATTATGCGTAATCTTCATTCTGATTTATGAGGAAAAAATCAAGAAAGGTAAATTCACTCTTTTCTCTTTATTTTATGCTTATTTCTTGTTTAGATATTCAATTGAATAATAGTGAAAAAGAAGAAGAAAAGAAAGCAGTTGTAATAACCAAAACAAGTGCCCTTAATGCTATGACAATTATGGAACAAGCAGTAAAATGTCGTCACGATGGAATGATAGTGATTAAATTAAATAACTTTGTTTCTTTTTCTTCAGATAAGATTGCTTCCATTTTCTAATATTCTCTATTCTTGTAGTAATAATGCATGTGCATGTGTGCCTTTCTTTTTTCTGTCTGTGTCGATGATAACGTGCAATAAGTTTTCTTTTACGAAATCAATAATAACATGACTGATATATTTATCATTGCTTGTATTACGAGATATTGAACGACATCACACAATACTATATGCAACAAAAACATTTTTGAACTTCTTATCCGTTTATTTCATATTGGATATGTTGGATCTGTATCGATTGTTATAAATACTCTGTAGCAATTCTTTTATTTTATTATGATTTTGTTACATAATTATTCTTATTTATAGAAATAAACTATTTTTATTATCTTTGTATACTTTATTTGTATGTCCTTATATGCACCATGGTTCGTTTTGTTTGATGATGTTGCATATTTTTATTTTGTCAGATCAATGACAGAGTTTAAAAATATTTGTTATAAATGTATTGATACTGAAGATCCATGTATATCTTTCTGCGATGCTGGTGGTAATATATGCATGTGTGGGCACAAAAAAATCTTTATCGTGAAAGTGAGCAAACAAAATGCTGTTTCTGGTAACAGAAATTGGGTCTAACTTTTCCTGATACATTCGATTTTCAAGAGTGACGATTCCATACTTTGTTATATGCTTTTCCTTTAACCGAAGGATCAAATCATTTGCTGTAAAGTACCAGATATTATTGCGGATCACATCTAGATTGCCAGGTCTATTGGTTAAAATCATTCTCTTTTAATGTTTTCTATCTGTGATCAACATTATAAGTTGAAGCGTTAATGAAGTGAGTGGTGACTTTTTGAATTCTAAAACACAAAGAAAACAGATAAAACCATCACGCTTAGAGACGAATCACCCACACCCTCAAGATGTGAAATAAATACAAGGATGCACCTTGGATTTCGTTAACGATCTACTCAGACTTCGGTTTTTATGGTTATAGAAAACTTTATGATTGATTATATTCAATGTCTTCACAAAAGTGCATGTAAAATATTCATCAAGATTTTAATTTGTTTCTCTCTAAACTATATTCACTATTTGTAAATCAATATATGACAACAGTTATTTCAGTTCCTATGTTTAGTAATTAAAATAATCGTCGTAATGAATGTTAAAAAGAGTCTTCAAATTTCTCTTATGTTATGTTCGAAGTTTAGCAAATCTTACAGATATAGCAACTATACTAGTCGTTTATTCTCATTATGATTCAATATTATAAATTAATCAAGAGTTTCTAACATAATTGAAGCTTGATATCCAACTTTTTACAGATGAATTTAGAAATTGATTTGAAAATTATCATTAAAACATCATTTAATTTCTTTGATATTAGTCTGAAACATGTTTCAAAAAGTTATTCGATAATGATTTTCGAAGAAGTTGTGTTAATTGCACTTATTGTTTTGGTTCAATAATTATTCAATCGAGCTAATTGTCAAGGTGGATTGTATATCAACGAAGTAAACAGTGATTTTCTGTTGATGAGGTTAAATGAATAAGAAAGAATTCTTTTAAATTAAAATAACATTGAAACTGTTATTTTATTTTTATGACTAGTTTTGAAATAATGCTGTATTCACATGAAGTTCATTTATCAGCTAACGATGTACCCGAGGATTGACAAATCGAAGTTTTACGTTTCCCAGATGAATATAGTACCATCGAAGAGACCATAAATTAATCGTTTTCTAGATTGACAATTCTGAAAAAGACTTTTACAAAATCTCATTCGCTTTGGCACTGTTGACAAACATCTGAAAGGATCCGTTCACTGAATTTCACACAATTTATAGAAGAAATCTTACTTGAGAAATCCTTTGAGAAATACAAAAACTTTTCTTTCTCCTAAAAAAAGAATCATCCTTATTGTGATAGAATAGAATTCTGTTCTAAAAACTATTGAGAAACAATCTTAAATATTCTAAGGTTTTGTACTGCGCGTGTCAAGATCTTACATAATTTGTAATGTTACAGTTCTTTCAGAATATGAACTATGCAGAATATTTTGATTTTTGAAATCTTGCAGTTCATCACTATGGTGGGTGTGAGTATAAAGGTATTTTGTGCCCGCACTCACATCCACCCACACCCACACCCTCTGGTTTTAGAGTCTATCGGAAAGTGGCTCGGATTTATACAATAGTCATTGTCATGGCCAGGGTCATGAAATCGTTGTCCAGTAGCTTTCTCTTCCATTATTGCTTTTTTATTCTCCGTCTCCTCCTCTTGCTCTCTTCTCTCTCTTTTTGATATGCATTGTTGGCTGTATATGAGAGCATGTGCGTATGTGTGCATGAGATTCGTTTCGCCATCCGTCTACTCATCCATTCTTGTTCGATGCGTGTTTGTTTCGTTCTGGTGTTTTTTATTTCGTGCATTCATTGATTGTTTCGCACAAGAGAAAGATGAAGAGAGAGACTCCTCACAGTCATCAACATGTGTAGCTGCTTCGCTTTTATTATCCTCTGTGTGATTGCGCCTCGTTGTCTTTCTGCCGTTTCTTTCACTCGTCCTTTCTCTCTTTTCACTCATCTGTCTCGTAATTTTATAAGCTCGGGTTGTGTGTGAGATAGATGTATTTTGAGTGGTATACGCTTAGAGATAGATCAAAGCCAAATAAATATCGTGCCGTAAAGCACAGGCTCGTATGCATCTCCATTTGTCATAATGATCGGAGTGATGAAGTAGCTGAATACACATCAATACTGAGTGTGACGGCATGGCTACTCTTCATCTTTTTGTTAGAATAACGCTGCATGTTCTGTGAACTTTTTCTCTCCATGCACCAACCATTTTTTAAAAGTACTAACACAGCACATCTTTTGTGGATTGTGTGTCTTTGAAAATAAATGTCATATTTGATGTTATCTTTTCTTTCGTTCTCTATTATTTCGTTCGTGTGCGTGTGCAAACATGAATGACGAAGCAAAATAATACTATTATCGACAGTACGGCTGCTTTTCTCATATGCATATATAGACATTTACTGACGCACTCCTCGTTTTTATTTCTTTTTCTTCTTGCTTGATAGGCCCATAAACATCGATGTCGACATACAAATTGTACTATTTCAACGCTCGAGGCCGCGCCGAAGTTTCTCGACTTATTTTTGTTGCTGCTGGACAAAAGTTTGAAGACATTCGCTACGAAGGTAGTGAATGGCTATCATACAAATCTGAAATGCCCTTGGGTCAGATGCCTGTTCTCGAAGTCGATGGAGTCAAATTGCCCCAATCATTGTCGATTGCTCGTTTCCTTGCCAAACAGTTTAATCTTGCAGGTAAAGACAATCTTGAACAAGCCAAAGTCGATGCCGTTGCTGATACAATTGCTGATGGAATGGCTAAATTTGGACCAATTCGCCGAGAAGTTGATGAAGCCAAAAAACAAGCAGACATGGAAAAGTTCCTTGACGATGAACTACCGAAACATTTACAAAATCTTGAAGTTCTGGCGAAGGCATACAGCAACGGTAGCTCATTCTTTGTTGGAAATCATCTCACATGGTGCGATCTATTAGTCTATGACATGCTTGAAAATATTCTTCATATCGATGCCAGTGCTCTCAATCGTTATTCCTGGTTACAACGTAATCGTGGAGAGGTCGAGAAACAACCGAATATTGCCGCCTATCTTAAGAATCGACCGCAGACACTATTTTAAACATTAAAAACTACGAACAAGTAGAACAGTGATTAGAGTTAATTTTACTGCTATTGTAACCTCATTTTTAGATCCTGTTCTTGATAGATTGCTGGGTATAGATTGAATAAATTTCCTTTTTTCTGCCATCTTACATTTTGATATTGGATAATGATGTAGGCAGACAAAAAAATCATCATATCAGTGTGCAAACCACCTTGATGGATTGATGATAGAAGCATTAAAGAAAATTTTGACGAAATATTGTTATCAATCACAAGAATTGACTTCAAATGACATTTTGAACACATAGTACTCGTTCATCATTGAATGTATTCTCACAATTCACTTTTTACTGTTGCATGTGTCAAAATACACAAATACCACTCGCTATTTTTCAATCAATATTCTAGAGTAAGCTCTGATTTAGTGTTTGCGTGGGGAGAAAAACGAAGTTTTTTTCTTTCTTGTTCTCTGGATTGATAAAAAAACGAGAAAAAGTGTCAATCACAAAACGACGCACAGCAAAGACAATATGTCGATGTATAAACTATACTGTTTTAAGAACGCCTTTTCCGATCACGAAAAATCAAATTTCTCAATTCAGATTTGTTTTTGTGTACTCAAAAAGTGAGTACACTCTAGAATCGGTCAGTGTGTCCATCCGGCCGGCCGTTTACACGATAACTTTTGAAACGAGAGTCTGATCAGGATGAAATTTTCTATACAGTTTAGTCTGAACAATATCTCGGTTGAGTTCGAAGATGAGAATGATTGGCCGATCCATTGCTGAGTTATTGCAATAATAGTCATTTTTCACTATGCTTTCCTATGAGAAGATCAACCCTTCTCTGTTTTCGTAAAAAACTTTTCCTATCATAGTCAAATAAAACTCCAACTATTATATACCATTTGATAGAGAATGTTACGAGCTACCAAATGGTATATAAAACATAAGGAAACAAGAAGGCTAGCTCACCTATTGCAAAGATAAATAAACGGAAATCGGTTCTGTTCTTGTCCACGCTCTAACTGATCCACAATTAGAGCACTATCTTCCGATAAGAGGTGATGCTTGAAGGTTTTCTGGGGCGGAGAACTCGAATCTGTACTCCACTTGTTTCGAAGCCCTATTGGTTGAGCACTGACCAATAGAAATCAAGTTATAGAAAAAACGACTTTCTGANAGTCACATCCAAACTGGGACCCACTGGCACCCACACCCCATACCCTAATCTTCTATCGATTACTGAAAACCGCAGATCGGTATGACTTTTCGTTAGAAAGTAGAAGCTTTTTTTCCACCGACCTTCTTTTAAAATTCTGATAGTGGTTGGATTCGTGCATATTTGGTCAATTATCGACTAAATTCCATTCCACGACCATAGCTTCATATTCATCCTCAAAAATCGATCGAGAAAAATTTTTCTCTTTTGCCGAACTCAGTTTTGATTTTTCATTAAAAAAAACTGCATCATTTTGCTTTATCTGTAAGAGTCACATTCACTTAGTTGTATATCAGTCAATATTAGATTTAATTGGCTTTTATCAGGGACAGCCACTTTCATGTATTTTGCAAAACAACGTTGACGATATTCATTTGTGATCTCTCAATAAGACCCACTTGCGTATAGTATATTGACACAAATGATATTCATTTTGGCGTTTATCTCTGCGGGCTTTTTCGGTCTTGAGATTAAAAAAAAACGGTGACTAATATTAACGTTTTGCTACTCTAATAATGGGAAGACAAAATTCATCAGTAAATGCAGACGAAAAGAAAGAATGAGTTGAGATGTTTTGAAACCAATGTTTATCCTTATGCAGGTTGTTTAATTCAAATAAATTTATTGACCAGATCGCTTATTCTATCAGGGATAATAAATATTCACGCGTATTGATAGAAGTTGCTTGAGTACAAAACCAAAGAAAGGTTGTACTATCGAGTACAGATCAGTATAATATATACGATGTTTCGATAGAGTAGATAAATCACTGAAATCAGGTAACATACCAACAGTTATTCTAATAACAGACCTACTTAGTTATTGTCTCTTTAGAATTTCTCTTTCAAGTTAATAAACAGATGGATATCAGTTGGCAGGCGTGTTTGACGTAGAATAGGCAAATGTTTTATACTTGATCTGTTTCTATATGTTTCAGAAAACAGAATATATACAACGATTAAAATTAGGATTATGAATCATATTGCAGTCTTAGTTCTATTAAGTTGTTTCCTATCTGCTATTTCAAGTAAGTACATCTTATAGTGTATGAAATCTTCAATCTATTATTTTCGATGGTCAACTAAATAGCAAAAGATAAAAACGCATAAATTCAACTTGAGAACATTGCTATTATTCGTGAACTCTGTCGTTCACGTAAATCTTTCTAAATCTCTTCCATTCATAGAGTTCAGTTTATATCCGAATCATTTAGTGAACTCATTTTTGACATTTCTGTTCTTTCTATATTTTTCAATGATTAGCTGTTGAATTCGACCAATCGAGAAGTGTTCGATCAACAAAAATTAAAACGAAAAATGTACCTGGCTACGATTGTACATTCGAACAACATCTATGCGGTTGGATTCAAGGTGAAAATACGACAATCGATTGGTTTCGTGAACGATCTTCAGAAAATGAACAAGTGAATATCATTGGTCCAATAGTTGATCACACTTTTGGAAATTCATCCGGTTACTATGCCATTACAAAATTAAAACTTCCTATTAGCAACTTTGAAAATATTCAAAACTCAGTACTGATCAGTCCTCGACTACCTCACGATATAGCTACTCCAATGTGTGCTGAATGGTGGTATATGATGTACAAAAGTGATAATACAGAGTTTAGTGTCTATTTAATTGTTAATAATAATCTTAATGAAAGAGAAGTATCATGGCGACGACGAGGCGACCATGGACATCATTGGCAGTATGACCAATTACAAATTGAACCGGGTAATAATATAACATATGTTTTATATGAAGTTGTTGCCGAATGGAGTATTCAATCAACAGTATCAATCGATGATCTTAAACTTCTCTATGGTCCATTTATTAAACCTAATTTTATTGCTATTGAATGTACATTTGAAGAAGAACATATTTGTGGATATTCATCTGATCCTACAGGCAATTTCGCATGGACATGAATACAAGGATCAAGACATACGCTTCTCACAGGTCCCAGCGAAGGTATAATATTTTTGACTTTTTATGGAAGAAAAAATATTGGATGTTTTGCACATCATACACTTGGCACTGACGATGGCCATTTTATGCTTGTCAGTAAGTATCACTTTTTTGTGTTCAGAAACATATTTTATCTGGAAAATATCTTTGTTTATAGAAGCAACATATCCACAAAAACCGGGTGACAAAGCTCGATTGATATCAGGTATTGAGCCAGGTGATCAAGGTCGTTGTCTTGAATTTTGGTATCATCAATATGGGAGTGATATTGACAAATTGAATGTTTACATTGATACAAATACGATCGGTAATGGATCATATACACTTCTTTGGTCACGTGGCGCTAATATTGGTAATATTTGGCGAAAAGCACATATTGCAACTGAATATACAACTCCATTTCGGATTATTTTCGAAGGAATAATCGGTAATGGAATCAAAGTAAAAAAAAATATTGGAAGTCAAAAGTGATTTTTTTTAAACACTCTCGATTCATTTAGGGAGATATTGCCATAGATGATATTCGACGTTTGCCACAATCGTGTAAAGAGTCAAACAATTGCGATTTCGAAGATGATACTTTTTGTGGTTGGGAAAATGTTAGAAAAACGGACGATTTTGATTGGCAACTGACTCGTGGACCATCGTCGGCTGAATTAGTAACTGGTTAGTGTAAAAAAAACACTCTGATGAAACGAAATTTAATATTCTCTTCTTCACTAGGACCTCTCGTCGATCATACCCTTGGAACAACATCTGGTGTCTATGCTTTTATCGATTCGCGTACAAATGGAAAAGAAAATCAAACAGCTGTGCTCATTTCACTATCAATGCCGGACACGGGCTCTAATGGAATGTGTCTAGAATTTTTCTATCATATGTATGTAGAAGAAAATTATAGCTTCGATGAATGCATTCACACCTATTGACAGGTACGGTGCAGGTATTGGCTCATTGACTATCTACTTACAACAGGAAGGCTTTCGTCGAATTCCAATGTGGACTTTGTCTGGTGAACAAATCAATGATTGGCTTCAAGGCAAAGTTGGTTTTGTTGTCAATTCCGATCATTCAATATTGATCGAAGCGACAATTGCAAAAGAAAATGAGACTGATATAGCTATTGATGATATTTCAATAGTGAACGGTTATTGCACTATATATCCGATATTGGCTCAACCAAATACCAGTTTCACAATATCAACACAACGAACAACAACAACAACAACACTAGGGTTGATTCTAATTGAATAGATTTCGAGAGGAAATTTCATATTTTCAATTTCTAGAGTAACGACATCACTCATTTCAACTTCAATAACAAACACATCATCAAATCCACTATCGACACCAATCACAACATCGAGATCAACCACGAATACTTGGTTACCAAGTTCATTTTTAACACCAAAGACGACTGTACCTACCATGTTATCAAGCCAATTGTCGACATCGGTGATAACACCAAAACCAACGATAACCACTAGTTCAACAAGTTTACCTTCAACATTGGGCAATTTCGCGATAGTTATTGTGATATTAATCCTGTCGGTGCTGGTATAGCACATCTAACAACAGCATTTTACCTCAATTATCTTATCATCGTAATTTTCAATATTTTCTACATTAAAAAAAAACGTCTTTTAACGAGTGAGAATTGAGTTGCATAAAACTAGCGGAACGATCAAATAAAATGGTCGTTTCCTCACCTTGATAAAATTTTCTTTTCTATGCTTCAACTATTTTTTTTAATAAAAAGATTCATCATTCAATTCTCGATAAAACAATGAACTTTTAATAACACAAATTATTTTCGTCACCTTGTGACACTTGAGGGTGGATGTGAGATATATAATTAATTAATTAATTAATTAACTGGCTATCACAGACGTGACACATATACCATCACAGACCGTGACCCACACATTAGCAACGACACCTTCGACCATAGGTACTAACAGCACCCTTAGCAACGTCTCTCTTCCCTCTCAGACCGTGATGGATATACCAGGAAAATCAAACTCTATCGCAGCATTGAAGTGAATCACGAGTGAGATGAGCTTAAGGATGTGGGTGTGGGAGGAGTGTAGGTGTGCGTGTGGGTGGGTGGGTGTGGGTGTGGGTGGGTGTGGGTGTAAGGTGGGTGTGGGTGTACGGTGGGTGTGCCTGTGCCTGTGGCCGTGGATATGAAATAAATTAAAGAGATGATCCACACCCACACCCCACACCCCACACCCACACCCACACTCCACACCCCACACCCCACACCCCGTGATACAACCTGTCTCATCTTTAGATGATCATGGATAATTCGTTCTATTGTACCACGCGATAGATCAGTCTTAACAATAATATCTTCATAAGTTGAGTGGGGATCATCTTCGATAACTTGTCGAACATATTCAATATTTTCAACGGTAAGAACTGAAATTGGACGACCAAATCGAGGATCATCAATGACATCTTCTCTTCTTTCGCGAAAACGTTTTGCCCAATTTTTAACCATTGAGTATGATGGAGCATCGGGTCCCAATGCTTCTGTAAGTTCCTCGAAGATTGTTTTTGGATTTATTCCCAAAATAACTCGAATTTTGATATAGTATCGATTAAATTCATCAGTCATGTTTGATAACTTGTTTTGCAATTGAAATCAAATTTTATCACGATCTAAAGTCGGGTGCGGTACAAATAAGCTGACAGTGAATAGCCTCTCATTTATATATACTATCGAAAGATATTGTTCTAGATCATGACGTCATTAAACGTAACGGGAGAAAGTGACCAATGGGAAATATGAATAGTTCCAGAATATACCTGAACATTGGACAAGAAATAGTTGAATATTAACATAGTCGCTAAATTATGAACTTAGTCTCGCAGAATACCTGAACTAAATCCAAGATAGAGCAGCTCTATAGATTATTAAAGACGAGACGTGATGCTATATATTCCCATAATAAAATATCCAATATTTACTGTTTTCTAAAATTTTAAACATCGGGCCACGAACTTTTGGTACGACCTAAGCAGAGTCTTGCCTGATAGTGAAATTGAACAACATTTAACACGCATAGCTGAAAAAGAATAGACAATACTTTTCACTTTCTTTTTTTTTCTAATGAACATTACGTTCTAAACGATAGACCAGAATTGCTGCCATGCGTAGCTTTTTTTCATTATTATGTTGTTTGATGAAAGATGTATCTTTCTGTCTTTAAAAAATATATATTTCATTCAAGTTGTTATTAAATACAAATAAAAAAGGAGATGAGCAAGATACATCAAATACATTTGATACAAGTTATATTAAATATTTTACTTGAAAATTGTTCATTACTCTTATTGGTTGTTTTAATGATAGAAATACAACATAATACTTTCAAGAAATTAATAATCTCTATTGTAGTAAAGTGCAAGGAATATGTTTGTTGACTTCGCAAGAAACACTTTCTTATTAGTGCTATAACGAAGGTAAAACCAAGAGGAACTCAATTTTATCAGTAGAGTTCAATAAGTTCTATGTATTAGTCTTAATTTTAAGGACTATTTTTTTTTATAAAATATCAAAAAAATTATTGTAAGATATTGCAAACAACTGAGAAATAACTTCTAACAATATCTATTTTGATTACCATGAATGAGATAAAAACATTAAATAATGAATTACTTCAATTTTGTTGACGTTCAAAACCATAAATATCAACGTAGAAAGCGGACTAGTCAAAATAACTATCAGCTAATACATCGCTGATTCACTATTAATCGATTCATACTTCTTCATAAATATTGCCTAGATTTTACGTATAACTTAAAAATAGTATGTTTTCCTACTCGATACAATGTATTCAAAGAGATTAAGCTCTTTTTGAACATTAATCAGAAGAGTTTCATAATGATCAAATAATGGAAAGTGTTATGGGATCAATAAAACATTATTTATGATAGAATGTTGAATGCTGAATATGAATGAGTGGTAACATTTAAATGCATTCTTTGACTTTTTGGTTGTTAGTTTTTCTTGGCATTATTCCTATTTTTATGTACTTCGATCAGCAAACTCCGTTAAATTTTGTATCGATCCAACATTTAAGTATTAAGATGAGTTCAAAGACACGTTTTGTCGTCATTTACAACAATCTGTCATTCAAACAGAGATTTGAATCTTAATTTCCATTGAATATAACATAATTCAAACGGTTAATGATATCAATAAAGAAATGAGTCATTCATAATGTTATATAAAGGTAAATTGTTGTCATCCGATTTTTCAATACAATAACAAAAAAATTCGTTAGCGTGACTCAGTTAGGGCTGCAACAATTATTTTCTAAGACAGTCTGTCATCAAAGTAAGAATGTATTTTATATATTTGTACATTGGGAATAAACATGTTTTCCCAGTTATTGCAATTCGATCGTTCGTTTAATTTTCGTTTTTCTCATGTCACAATTGTTTTAATTATAAGAACTGAATTAATTGACAAATGAGGTAGTTGCAAAAATCTATTATATCAACTAAAGTTCTTAACGTACGATTATATATTTTGATCAATTTAGAAACACTACTATTGATTATTTTCAAAGGTTATTAACTTGATCATTGCACGATTTTTATGTTGATCATGTAATAACTGTTTTAAAACAATGCTTCATTATCTATTATCTTTGTTTAAAATATTCTAGAACCTTAAAACCAGGGAACATATGCAATTATCGAATCGATTTCCAGTCTTGAATAGATGCATTTTGAAGAGTCGAGTGAATTATCTTTACAATGAGAAGAGTTCGTGTCTATGATCTATGTGTAAACAGAACGAGTATTTGTAGTTTTATAGCTAGAGACTTTGACGATATCTCAAATATATTGTATCAAAATGATTTTCGATGTTAATAAAATCTTTAGTAGTTGTAGAGCTTTTGATACTAAATATCTTCATTCAAAAACTTTTTTTGAAAAATGCTTTAAGCACTAAAAGTAAAAAAACGACTGTGATAAAAAATTTTCTTGAATTTTGCTAAGTCTTCACCAGTTAAAGTGTGCTGGATATACCTTCATCAGAACAAAAGTGTTTTCAAAAACTTTCCTATGAGAATACTTAGAATTAAAAGTTCTACGAACGTTGAGGATTTTTATCAACATTTTAAATCATTCTAATCCAATATAGTTGAGGTATTATGGAAGACTAGCTGTAAGACTAAAAATATTTTAATTTTCGCACGAACCATGTTCAGGGTAGAGATAAATCATTGGGCTCTACAAGATGCATCTGTTCTTGACTGGGTTGCGATTCAACAGTTGAATATGTTTTATCATAAGTATATACCTCATTTTTGACCACGAATTACGAGCAATAGCATCATTATTTTTTCTTCCAGTATAAGTACATTAACCAACTTTATTTACTTCAGCTGTTTACTAGGATGAATCAGTCGAAAGAGTGGTCTCATTACTGAATACATTTTGAAAAATCAAGATAATTTTTTTTCAAATTAAAACCTATAGAAAAGCAATCATCAAAGAATAACAAAGAAATTTTCATTTTTTTTCTCGAACTGGATTTTGAAAATAAAATTTTCAAACTTTTAATTCTTTCTATTCCTTACATCACAATTAATGGAAGAAAAGTTTTCTTGTAGACTCTTCATAAACATCGGAATATCTATTGTTTTATATTGATTAAACTATTCTGTACTGGTGAATGTTAACAAAATTTGTAAGCATCTAGATCAAATCAAAGTTAAACAGTTTAAAGCATTTCCACTCTTCATTACTTTCAGATTTTCTTGCATGCGACAAATTTCATTAGTTATGTACTCAAAAATGAAAGGAATTGCGTCACTTGAATAGCGAACATTCAATCATTAATTTTATTATTGAACGCCTTAAATTAATCAACACATGACATTTTAGTCATTTATTCTATTTTTCATTGATTTATACAATCATCAAATAGTAAAATTTAATATATTCTGTACTAAAAATTATAAAGTAATGTTTGACAATCGAAAAGAAATGAATAACTGATAAGTTCAAGTTCTAATAAGTTTAGAAGCTTTTGAATTTATTATGACGAATTGATAGATAAAGATGAATTTCAAAGATATTAACACTTGTTCACCTATGTGACTTGTATGAAATTAACTTTCAACAGTAGCGTCTTGTAAAATCATATGTGCGACTTTTTCACCAATGGCATAGGCAGGTGCCTGTGTATGTCCATTATTTACTAAAGGAAGAATAGATACATCCGCTACTCGTAGGCCTGCAACGTTTCGTACACGAAGTCGACTGTCCACCACTCCCATTGGGTCACTGTCAGGTGCCATTTTACATGTACCACTCGGGTGATAACAGGTATTGGCAAAGGCTCGCACATGCTTCTTCCAATCATCTAGACTTTTTGGATGCGACAATGTTTTCGGCCATAGACCAGCAATGATATCTTTTGTTCCTCGGCCTTTCATTAACACTTCGTGACCAATTCGACAACCTTCAGCAAGTACAGCTACATCGAGATCATTTTCAAGATAGGCATGATCAATGATTGGTTTGCTTGTTGTGTCGTTGGATGAGAGTCTGACAGTACCTCTTGCTTGTGGTCCACATAGAAAAGTAATTAGCGTAATGCTTCCTTCGCCTTCCACAGGAAATTGTGGCAGCTCATCTATAAAAGTGAAATACTCTTATTCATTCAATTTTATTGAGTTGTTGCACATCTGAAAAAAGTGATTTTTTTTCATCGCTAGTTTTACGAAATGAGCATTGTTGAGACATATCAGTTTATCTCATATGAGGGACTAGGAATGATCAACTTTCAAAATATATGCGCAACAATCTCATAGTCATAACAGAGAATTGTCACTTGATTGTCATTAATAATGTAATAAAACCTAGTTCATGGCGATTGGTGTATGTTGAACTATGTAGATAAGACAGTATTTATTGTACAATATAATGAAGCTTGTTATTCATTCTATTTTCTCTTTGTTAAGAATAGTAGGATCTGACTATTTTCGGTCATTTTTCATCTGATCAAAGTAACGGAGAGTAGCGTTTGGTTTTAGAAGAAAATTTTTTAAAACGATTTCTTTCTATATTTTAATTGACTAACCCGCTTCTGAGAAGACAGGAGCGCAAAATTGCAGTTCTGTTGTCCACAACTCAATATGAGGTTGATTTGGCCATTGTTCTGTTGGATCACACTCTGATGGTTGCAGTTTTTGCTTTTCAGATTTTGCAGCTTCCCAAACAGGATCTTTAATAGTTTTATCTATTCGTGTTAGTGCAAAGGGACCAAATGGAATTCCTGCCATGACTCCTGTTTTTGTTTCATGCCATTTATTGAGTGACGATGTAACAGCGTCTGGAGAATAGTAGATAAATTGGTCGAGTGTTAGACTTGGATCTTTCACTTGATACGATGTATATACCTAAGAAATAGTTTAAAATATGGATAGTTAAACTGAAAAACTACATACAATTGTATGATCTTGAAGATTACTTCCTACACCTAGCAAGTTAATCTTGCAAGTGATGCCCATTTCGATCAGATGTTCTGCTGGACCAATACCAGAATGCATTAAGACCATTGGAGAATTATAAGCACTAAAAAAAAAAGGTATCCTAGCAACATAAACTGAATTCGATTGTCCAGAAGTCGGAAGAATGAGAAAATTACTGCTCATCTTTTTTACTGTAAGACATCTTGAGTCAAATCACATGTCCTTATAGCGTACCCAGCACTTAGAATAATTTCTTTTCTTGCTTTGATACTTATCCGTTGACCATTTGCATCATGATGTGCTTCGACACTGACTGCCTTGTAGTCACGTTTATCTTCCGTACTTTTATCATTTTTTTCCAGAATAATTCGATCAACATAGACACCTGCTCGAACTGTAAGATTTGGTTTCTCATAATGCTGAACAAAGTCAGCACTTGTACTTCGAATACCTTTACAAACTGTACGTACAGCATGTCCAACGCCTAGACAACTGTTTGATAAATTTCAAACAAAGAAATCAACATAACAAACCTTCATAAGCGCCCTGTGCAAACATATCTGGTTTGTACTCAAAGCCACTGTCAATGAATGATTGAAGAACTTTTTCTGAGATAGGTGCAAGAAGATATGGCTCTGTATGCAATGGTCCACTAGTACCATGAACCGTTAAGTCTGCCTGGTGCCAATCAGCTGGATGAAATGTCTCAGATGCTTTGAAATATGTCAACATTTCTTCCCAACTCCATCCTGGATTTCCCATGGCCGCAATTCGATCATAATCTGCTTTGGCACCTCGAATAAGCAATGTACCATTAATTGCACTACATCCACCGAGAAATCGAGCACGTATAGCATAAATAATACGATTATTACAACCTTTTTGAGCAATAGTATCATAGTTCCAGTCGTTCGACCTCTCCGTATACATAGCCCACCTACCCGGTATACGACTATGGAGGATTTCTTTGTCGCTGTTACAAAATATTATTCGATTAAAATTAGAAAATTAGGATATACACGAACAAACCTTGGGCCCGCTTCGAGAAGACATACAGTAGAGTTTGTATCACCTTCTGCTAAACGTCGAGCTACAACCGCACCACTTGTTCCACCACCAATCACAACGTAGTCGTAAGTACTCTCTAAAAAAAAACAGTATTCTCGGAAACCAAGGGAGAAAGGTTTCCGAGTGTTCGGAAACCCATTTCTTGTCCTCGAGAACCCTTTTATCGGTTTCCGAAAGCTCG